AAATATTAGCATTAAATGTGACCAACCACATCGATTTGGTATTTAAATAAATGAAGTGACGATATTCATAGTGCCATTAAAATGAATTGCGAGAGGCGCAACAAAAAGTTTAATATCCGGTACCGTCGCTCATTTATCGTCTTTTTGATAGATTTACACTAACTGCAGCGCGTGTAAGCAGCGATTGTCTTTGCTCGCGCGCAGATCGATCATCGTTTTACAATCGTTTTGTGGGATCGTAAGATTTTCCCATAGTTTCTTTAATGCTCCTTCGAACGATTCCTATCTGCCCATCAAAGACTGTCAACGTGTATTTTTTTTTTCTTCTTTCTTCCGTTCATGTCCCTTGAAATTGAGAACACCTCATTAAATCGAGCTCCGACGCGTACAGAAAGTAAAAGGAGGAAACAAATGTTTAATAAATAATTAATCATTTGTTTCGGTGTGACTCACATTGGATTCGATTAACGTAAACATTTTGCAATACACTTTTTAAGGAACAAGTAGATAATTTTTATTTCATCGAATAACATTTAATACAATTACGGGGGAAAAAGTGTTGAACTGTGTAGTTGTGAGTTTAATGAATAATAAAAAAAAAATTTTGCAAAAAATTATGATCGGTGCCTTACCAAGCACGATTACGAGGACAATTTTGTACTAAGGTGTACGTGAACATCGATCAATCGATTAACGCTCTTCAGATTCCAATGAAGCGAATATAATATAATATAAGGATCTGCACAGCACCGGAGTCCGTATTACAGAGATACGTACCCGTGTGTGTGTGTATGCGTGTACGCATACTTGAGCGAGCCTCGTGTACGTGTGAGTGATAATATGTAAAATTTCTGAGCGGAGCTCAACTTCCACGAAGTCGTATACAGGATTATTGAACCATAGTGTATGGTATCCCTCTTTTGCAGGCAGTTCGCGCTCACACGATCGTACGCGATGACTTTGGGTGTATATTATATGCGTATATAAAATACAACACACGCGCGCGCAGATATACATATATATAATACGTCGCTGACTCCCACGAAACGATTAAGCAGGCGTTCGAGGTAATTAAGATATAATCGATCTTGACCAACCGAGCATCTACTATGTGTACTTGAATTCCACACGATGCCTTCAAGCGCCTCATCAAGCTTTCGTGCTGATATCGCTGTATATAGTGGGCGCGAGAGAGAGAGAGAACTATCGAATCAAGCCACCTTTTTATCGCGATCTTTTTGCAGCTCCAACTAAATTGTGTGCGTGTGTGTGTGTCGGCCCCGAGTACTCCGCTGCGATGCGTTCGACAGAGAATATCGCAGTATCGTATCGTCATCGCGTCGAGTGAACGCATGAAAGCGTCGCGTTGCAATAATTAATAATCGCATACACACGCGTTGCTCTGCATGTTAGAGAATTGCTCGCGCCTTTGAAAAAATTTTTTTTAAATAAAAAAAAGGTGGGTTTTAAAAAAGTTTTGAATGGGAAATTAATGTGAAATAACTTGAATCTTTACAATTTTAAAATCACCTCCTTCGTGTAACTAAAATGTATTTTATGATTAATCTTTATCGAGGAAATATTCTCTCTGCTGAACTTTCCATGCTTTTTAAAGTAAACTGCTAGTTTCAAAAGTTATCAATGATTTTGTGAACAATATTACATTATGTTTTCAACTCGAAATTATACTTTCAATAAATAATACCCTCGCTTTAATGAAAATAAATGATATGAAAAATATCCAAATACAGGTTATTTAAAAAAAATTTAAATCAGCCCAATTGGTGTATTAAAGTTAATATATCATTTTTTTATAGTCCCCGCCTTTGTTGCACGAACTGTATAAGAAACCTTCCAAGGGAGGGGCGACAAAAAATAAATAAAATTTAAGTAAAAGACACTCCGATGTTCATACATCTGAAAAGTGAAAACACAAATGCGTCGAAATAATCTCGGCTTACATCTCGAGATTCAATTATACTTCATGAAATCGAACATGATGAAAATTTACCATAAATTTATAGTGCATATACAGAGAGGATCCTCTTAACATCTATACACCTTCGAGTTCTCAATGAAACAATAGTTGTTATAAATTTCACCCGAGTCCCTTATGTAAGCAACGTACGATAAGAAGGTACGTAACATAAATACATCGAAGGAGTACAATTTTGTACTATACGCATACGCACGCGAGACTTATAAGTGAAATAAAAGATAATAAATAGAGAATGAAAATGAGAGCTAAAAGAGCAAAGGGAGAGTGAGGGAGGCGCGCCAATATGAAACTGTTTGTTTATTAGTTGATTTATCGCTGAGATACTTATCATCCTCGCAGTCGCGAGTAAAGTGTACACGTACGTATGCAGCTGCGCTCGATGCGCCAGTCCCTGACATTTATCACACTTCGCATTATTATATATATTAAATCCACCCTCGATGTAATGTAGCACCTCTTATGTTGCTCTTACGTGGCTCGCGTGTACCAGTGAAATTACTATTGGGTATTTATTCTTTGAGATTTGCGTTGTATCGATGAATCGGTAGATCTTGCCTACAGTCGGTAGAAAAAGTATAGATTGAGATGAGTCACTCGAGATAATGTGGCATAATATCTTATTCCGAACTCGAGACGAGCATTTGCGTAAAATGAAAAATATATATAATCACGAGGCACGCCGATAGGCGCGCGAAATGAGAATATAATTTCCAAATCGTTTATGTGTCAAACGATTATGGCCTTTCTCTCTCTGTCTCTCTCTGCGAGTCGAAAAAGCTCAGGCATTTTAATGGCGTCATAATATATGTATGTTTTACCATGAGTATGTCTGTATGTATGTCTGCCAGCAAGTCGGACAACGAGCCACGAGCTCTTTCTGGGGTCCCTCAGTATGAGGTCCTATACTCTCTCAGCTACCTTCGATGTATTCAATCACGAAATTATCACTTCTGTATTATACACACATGCCTTAAGGGCGCATGCGAATGCACTCGTTACCTTTTTTTCTCTTCTGTCTCTCTCTCTCTCTCTCGTTCTCTCCCTCTTTTTCTCGTTTCTTTCTTTGCTAACCTTTTTTTTGTAGCGAACTTTTTTCCCCCCAACGAGTCTCGTTACCTCGTTTATTTTTGTGCTCTTTCTCTCGCTTCCCATATAAGCCAATACGGCTTGCTCGTAAAAAACAATCGTTAATTATAAGAAACCGTAAAACAATTTTTACTCTTGTAAGCGTAACATGTGTAAGCATGTATAATTTTCATTTGGTTTATTTCGCGATCTTTCGTTAATTTTTGTAGCATTAGTAGAATCAACTGCTGGGCATGTAATCTTACAATAATGTAATTTGATACGACTGTTATTTTTCAATTACGAGAAGGTATTTTTAATTTTCTCTCTTAAGTTCAAAATTACATGTAGTGATAAAGTTAATGTTTATGATATTCATTCAAAGTGCAGAAATACCGAGCTCTTGACTGGCATTTTTTGAGTATTCGCTGAAAAAATAAGCAAAACATAAGCTAACTCGGCCACGCCGCTAAAGTTTGTGCATAATGATGGTATGGACATTTTATTAATTGATAACTGTAGACGTCTTGCTTTTACCCATTCACGATCAGAATATTGCTTTAATGAAGCACTACACAGATTTATTATCTTAGCACTTGACATCACTATTGTTTTATTGTGAAATTTGACTAATTATTGTCCAATATTGATAAAGTAAATGTTGAGCTTTTGCTAAACTGGTCTTTAAATTTAGATAAACTATGCACATGACTTGCGATGTTTTCTCTCTCCAATTCTTCTTCAACTTTGACCATTAGATCATTGATCACAAGTATTGCAACTTACTTATTTTAGTCTCTTTCAGTCTCTTTTGATATTAGTATAATATTTTAAAAAAACCTTAAATTTCATGTAGATAAAATCATCAGAAATTAAAATTAAAGTGATCGGTATTTGATTTCTATCTAAAGTGCTTTTACATCAAATCTTCCTTGAAAATTAATTAATAAGTACAGGCTTTTCTTCTCCAATCACACCAAAAATGCAATCACATACATTATTTTTAGAACCAAAATGACAAAAAAATTAAATTCTTCTCTAAAATTTGAATTCTGATCAAAAATTAATTATATACTGCTGATTTCTTTTTTGCCTTTATTGAAACATATTTAATTTCAGCCTACACCACTAGATGGCGTGTGCCTATTTATTTGTAAAACTATAAAACGAAAATCAAAATAATTGTATAAAAGTTTGAAAATTGTAATAAGCAAATTATTAAAGGTAATGAGACTCATTGTCATTAGATTCATTTTTGAGCATAAAGTCATTGAATTCAAATGAATAATTTCAATATTATTGACGTTTCACAATAGAAATGGTAAAATGAACAAAAAACTGTATTAAAATTAATTTTAAAAGGTTTAATTAATAAAACTTAAATTTAGAGAATTTTAAATTAAATTTAATCTATATGAAGGAAAATAGCTTCCTCCATTTTAATATTAATTTCAAAATTTCAATGACAATATTGTTTAGCAATATACATAAGTCAAACTTCTCTTCCAATAATGACATATTCATTTCAATTTCAAATTATTTCTTTTACTTCACAAATTAAAAAAAAAGTTTGTTTGGTATATTTATAATTTTCATTTTCTTTTCTGAAGGTTTTCACCATGCTTGTTTAAAGTCAGTTTTTTATATCGTTCATCGCGATTCATAACTCAAATCATTATTAGTTCTGACGTTTTGATAGTTGGCGTAAAGTTCAAGAGTCTGCCACATGAGCGCTGCTCACCACATGCTGGGAGCGAATAGCTCCTCGTGTTTTTCATTCACTTCATAAAAATCGTAGCGTATGTAATGCCAGTACACGTTGCAACGTCGCAGTGTGAACAAAGAAATATCGTGCCGGTTGCAGAGTGATTTTCATAAAAAATTTTAAAAAATCTTCAATTCTAATCGGTTGTGTTATATTGTGGAAATGTGCAAAATGTTGTATATGTCTGAAAAAAATTCCAATGAAAGTTTCCATTTCGAAGGCGACGCAGGAAACAAAATAGACGGCAATGAAGTCAAGCACGTGGATTTTCTTAACCAAGACAGCTTGGCAGAATTCAAGGCCATGTGTAAAAGAGTCGACTATGAAAGCGAAGAAGAGTGCAAGGAATTTCTCCATCAATTTTATTGTTTGGTCAACAACTGGAACGGTCGACTTCCAAATCTCGAAGAATTTTTTTGTCCCGCCGATGTCGATTGGCTACTCTCGGAGTCTGTAATTTGCGATGACAACGCGATCGAGCCAGGACCTATCATCGACTTCGTGATCAGGACAGGCTACAAAGACCAACCTAACTTCGATGAAGAAGGCAAGCCATTACCGCATCGCACCACACCAATTCATTTTGCGGCTAGGCGCAAGGAAAAACTCATCATCGTTGATTTGTTTAAAATATACGACAGCTTCGAGGTAAATTACATCGATGTCGAGAGCGGTCTAACGCATCTGCACGTGGCTTGTGAATACGGCTGCGACGATGTCGTCGAAAAATTCCTCGAGCTCGGGCAGAATCCCAATTGCTACACACCAAAATTTTTAATCACGCCGCTGTTCTTGACCCTTCTTAACGGCCACCAGAAGACGGCTGAATTGCTGGTAAGAGGAGGCGCTGATCCAAACGCAGCCACTGCAGTGGAAATGACACCTTTGCACGTCATTTGTCGGAGGGAAGACGACAGCCATGACTTGCTGAAGATGTTCTTCGAGATCACCGACGACCTCCAGCATAAGGTACAGGTCGACGCCCAGGACAAGTGGGGCAACAGACCACTTCATTTGGCTCTGCTCAATAATAACCGTGAGGTGGCCGAATTCCTGCTGAGAAGAGGCGTAGATCTCAATTCGCCCAACAATAAGGGATCAACACCTCTAGATATTATTTATAAAAAAAATTACGACGAAGACTTTTTAGCCCTATTCTTCAAGATCAGCAACGAACTCAAGAAAAAGGTATATGTGGACATTCGAGACAAATCGGGTAATACACTACTACACCGGGCTCTCCTCGAACGCAATAAAAAGATGGTTGAATCGTTGCTGAGACACGGCGCCGACACGAACGACGCTAACTCGATAGGATTGTCTCCCGTGCACCTGATTTGCTTGGGAGACGACGTAGGTGATTTTCTAGAGTGGTTCTTCAGGATGAACGACGAGATGCAGAAGACGGTACGAGTCGATGCTCAGGACAACTTGGGTAGAACATCGCTGCACTTGGCTCTGGAGTTTGATAACGAGGAGGCGGTCAAACTTTTGCTGAAAAGAGGTGCCAGCCCGAATATAGCCAACAACGATGGCTCGACTCCGCTGCATTTAATTTGCAACGCGCGCCACGATGCCTATGAAATGGCGGAGATATTCTTCGACGAAGCAGTCAATGAGGTGGTGGAGTTGGACGTCCGTGACGAGATGGGCCAGACACCGTTACATCTAGCTCTGTCTCGTGGCCGCAAAAACTTGGTCCGACTGCTGCTGACGAATGGCGCGGATCCCGATAAAGCCGATAACTACGGATTGACTTCTTGGCACTTGATTTGCTGGGAAGGGGTCGACGACGATCTGCTCGAGTTATTCTTCAACGGCGAGATCAAGCGAGCGAAGCAGTTAGACGCCCGAGACAAGTCGGGCCGGTCGCCCCTGCATTACGCTCTGCTCGCCAATAACAAGAAGGCGGTCGAATGGCTGTTGAGAAGCGGCGTCGATCTAAATTTAGCCGACCCGCGTGGATCGACCCCTCTGCATTTGATTAGCTCGGAACAAGTAGATGACGATATGGTGGAGATATTCTTTACGAAGAACGACATGAGCAAGATGAAGATCGAGATCGACGCTCGCGACGAGTCGGGTAAGACTCCGCTTCACCAGGCTCTACTCGCCGACAATAAAAAGGTGGCCCTGGAGTTGCTGCAAATAGGCGCCGACCCAAATCTGGCCGACTACGAAGAATCGACGCCTCTGCATTTGATATGCGAGAGAAAGCACGACGACGACTTGGCGGAGACGTTCTTCGAGATCAGCGACCGGAGATTACAGTCGGTGCGGGTAAACGCTCGCGACGAGAGGGATCGAACACCGCTACAATTGGCCGTGCTCAACGGACTCCGGAAGGTGGCCGAATTGCTACTGAAACGCGGAGCGGATTCGGACTTGACTTCGAAGGGCGGAATGACACCCCTGCACATCTTATGTACGAGCGACGACGACGACGATTTGACCAAGATATTGTTCAAGATCAACGGCGACGTCGAGCAGCGGGTCGACGCTCTAGACGAGTGGGGCGACACACCTCTGCATCTGGCTCTACGCCACGGCAAACAGAAAAAGGCCGACGCGTTGCTGAGACTAGGCGCCGATCCCAGTCTGGCCAACGAAGCCGGAAGAACGGCTCTGCATTTGATCAGCCTGTTGTGGGACGAGGATCGAGATGCGCAGCTGTTCGTCGCTATTACCGAGGAGCTTCGTCGCAGGGGGCAGATCGATGCCCGAGACAAGCAGGGCAACACGGCCTTGCACGAGGCGCTGAGAAAGGGGTCGAATCAGAAGGCCGCGTTTCTGCTGATGAGAGGCGCCGATCCCAATGCAGCCAACGCGGGTGGATCGACTCCTCTGCATTTTATCGCTGCGCGGTACAGCCCAGTCGAGGATTACAATATGGTGGATGAACTTTGCAAAATTGCCCAAGATCTAAATGAAGTAGTACGGATCAATGCCCAGGATATGATAGGTGATTCACCGTTGCATTTGGCTCTGTGCAACGGCAAAAGGAAAATGGCCGAGTCGCTGCTCAGATGGGGCGCAAATCCAAATTTACCCAATGCGAAGGGATCGACACCTCTCCATGTTATTTGCACGAGAAAAAACGACGATGACTTGGCAGAGATGTTTCTCGAGACCTGCAACGAAGTGAAACAGATGGTAGAGGTCGATGCCAGGGACACGTCGGGTCGAACACCACTGCAATGGGCTGTAGCTAGCCTCTTGCCGAATACAGTCAATGTACTCTTGGATCACGGAGCTGATCTGTCTAACTTTGTTTTTCCTACCGAGGATTACCTCGCCAAGAACGTTCCTTGGTATTCTAAAATTCAGGATTTTAAATTGATGTACGTTGCTGCCCTTCTTGCCACTGTTGAGAATCTCGAGAAGAGAGGATACGAACTGGGCCGAAGCGACGCCCTGACTATTATGAAACTTTTCGCTGAGCACGGATTGTTCCAGACTTCGGTGGATCTTAGAAAATGTTGGTACTATTACGAGGATTTAGTGATGATAGCGAAAAAGATAACAGTACATTCGAGCTTGTCGCTTTACGATTTGAGCCGGTTACGATCCGAAGAAGTAAAACGACTATTTTCATACGAGAACTACCGCGATCTCGTGAACGAGGAATATTCGCATTATTATTGGAGCAGTTTCGAAGGATCGATTCGGGCTCGTGTTGCGGATCTGTGCGAGAAACTATCGACAGGATTTTTCATGTGCTGAGCAACGATATATCTGCCTTGGAGCTAGCACACGACTGGCTGATAATTGAATTATGTAAAATGCGATCATCGAGAAACTGATCAATGAAGATTTGTGGTGTACTTGCTTGGCAGCTAAAATACAAATTATTATTAAATTACTAAATTATTATTATTATTAATATTACCCTAATTGTTAAATTATTTTTTATGTTATTTGAATAAATGGATTCGAAAATAAAATATTTAATTCATTAATTTGCTTCGTTATGAATCTTTCAATGTTTTCATTTTTTCAGTTTTAGGATTTCATTCTCGAAATTAGACGTTTTTGATCTGATAAGGAACTTCTCTGGGATTTTTCAAGTCTAATTAGTATTAATACACTTATAGCACGAAAACTTTTCATTTGTTTGACACTAAATGTCTGCAAATATTTTGTATACTGAGTTACTATTTTAAAATTAATTAAATTCTAGGTGTCAACTCTGTGAACCCTCGTTTAAAGAAAATTAACACTTTTCATGACATTAAAAGTTCTTGAGTTATAGATTTGAAACTTACTAGGTTTAAAATGACTAGTTGTAATGTTTGTTCAAATTTAAAATTTATAACTTTTCATTTTTGAAATTAGCTCTGAAACTGATCGAATCAAAAATTTGGGGTTTACGCTGACAATGAAAATATAATTTTTATTTTATGAATACAAAGTTTATAAGCTGAGATTCTGAAACTTGGTAAGTAGATTTAAAATTACTAGTTAAAATGCTATTATAAATTTCATATTTGTAGCTCTTGTAGTTTTAAAATTGGTTCTGAAACCTATAAATCCAAACTAGAGGTTTACGCTGACAATGAAAATATAACTTTCATTCGATACATAAAAAGTTCACTAGCTAAAGTTTTGAAACTTGGTAAATAGGTTTAAAATGACTTGTTAATATACTGATCTGAGTTTCAAACTTTTAGCTCTTAAAATATTGAAATTGACCCAGAGAATCAAAATGTCTAAAATTGAGGATTACGATGAAGATATATGTAAGCATGAATCTCAATTTTTAACATTTTGATTCCCTGCGTCAACTTTTAACTTAAACAGCTACAAATATGAAATTTATAAAAGCATTTTAACTAGTAATTTTAAAACTACTTACCAAGTTTCAGAATTTTAGCTTATAAACTATTCTGGTAGTTTAAAAATTGGTTCTTTAACTTATCAATTTAAACTGGAGGTTTACGCTGACAATGAAAATACTACTTTAATTCAATACACAAGAAGTTCACTAGCTAAAGTTCTGAAACTTGGTAAATAGGTTTAAAATGACTTGTTGTTATACTAATCTGAATTTCAAACGTTTAGCTCTTAAAATATTGAAATTGACCCAGAGAATCAAAATTTCTAAAATTGAGGGTTACGATGAAAATAGATATAATCATAAATCTCAATTTTTAACATTTTCATTCTCTGCGTTAACTTTTAACTTAAAGAGTTACGAATATAAAATTTGTACAAGCATTTTAACTAGTTATTTTCAAACTACCAACTAAATTTTAGAATTTTAGCTTTATTTATAGAAAAAAATTTGTATTTTCATTGTCAGCGTAAACTTCAAATTTTTGAATTTATCAGTTTAAGAGCCTATTTAAACATAAATAGCTACAAATTTCTAATTTTAACTTGTATTGCAACTAATTATTTAAAAATTACTAAGATTCAGATCTATAGCTTGTGAATTTTTTATGTATCAAAAAAGTAAAAATGTCCATTGTCAGCGTAAACTTCAATTTCTTCAAAATCAGGGTTAACAGAATTGATACCTAGAATTCAATTAAAATTTAAAATTATTTCAACTCAGTTTGCAAAATATTTAAAAATGTCTAGTATCGAACATATCTTCAGCAATTCTATAATTTATTAATACTTATTAGACTCAACGATGTCGAACCTGAATCCATGTTTTTTGGAATTAGCTTCATTCAAATTATGGCGCTGTTAGTTTTAATTTGTAATCCGTAGCGACATGCGACGTATGTGACAGCCTTTCACTTTCTCTCTCGTGCGTATGCTGTACGCACGTCCACTCGAAGAACAGATGGCTTGGTGCAACGCGTAGAGTACGTTACTCAAGCGATATCTGTTGTAGCTTCCAACACGTGCTTCTTCATTTTTATATTGACTGCTAGTCTCGTTCAGTGCTTATTTAAGTTTATAGTTAATTTTGTGAAAAAAAACGGTGTCTTGCGTGTGAGTAGAGAGAACAATGGCTACGTCCAACAGCGAATCCGATAAAAATGTACAATCCTGTAAAAATAGTGAAAGTATCAAAATTAACGGTGATGATGGCGTGGATCAGTGGGGCAACACGCCATTGCACATGGCTCTGTCATCTAAGGTTAACTTAATAAAAGCCGAATCGTTGCTGAGAGGAGGAGCCGATCCTAACGCATCTAATACGTATGGATTGACTCCTCTGCATTTAATGTGCCAGGTACACCTCGGTGATGAGCAATTTGTGAAGAAGTTTTTCAAGATAACCGAAGATCTAAAAAAGAAAGTGCAGATCGACGTACTAGATAAGTACGGTAACACTCCATTACATTTAGCTTTGAGTATCGGTAAAAAGAACGAGGCTGAATGGCTGCTGAGAAAAGGCGCGAGTCCGGATTTAGCCAATACAGAAGGATTGACCCCTCTTCACATCATTTGCAAAAGGAAAGACGACGGCATATTAAAATGTGAAATGTTGAAGATGTTTTTCAAGGTCAACGCCGACCTTCGACAAGAGGTGAACGTCAACGCAAAGGACAAGTGCGGCCGAACAGCGCTGCAATTAGCCTTGGCTCGCTGCCACTGGGACTCTGCAAATTTGCTTCTGAGGGCTAAGGCCGATCCAAATTTTACGAGCGAGGACCGATCGACACCGCTGCACATCATTTGCAGGAACGACCGCGAGGATTGGGGGGCGGTGCTGTTTCTCAAGACCTGCCGAGAACTCAAGCTGAAGGTAGAGATGAACGCCCGCGACAAGTCGGGTCGGACACCTCTGCAATGGGCCGTAGCGAGTCTCCTGCCGAAAAGCGTCCAAACGCTCTTGGAGTACGGAGCTGATCTGTCCGACTTCGAGTTTCCTCACGATTACTTCGGCGACCACATTCCCAGATATTCCGTGTACAGAGACCGTATGATATCGCACGTGAAGGGTGCGCTGTTTGTGCTTTTCCATCTGCGACAATGGCAATATCAAATAACTCGACAGGACGCCCAGACGCTTGTGGCATTCTTTTCCAAGAACAAATTACTCGAGGACCAAGGGTATGGAGAAAATTGGTTTCGACACGATCACCATTGGAACGAATTTAAATCAATTGTAAGCCTTTTACGACCCGATGAGTCGCGAGACATACTCGAACGCATGGAAAAGTTGAGGTCTAAGAGAAAGTAGTTGAAGCGCTACTGCGAAGCTCTCAATTACAATGAGAATATTTGTACGATTTTTTATGTTTGGTGTTATTTAATGTTGTTGATTTTTTATGCTATTAAAATAAATAAATTTGAAAATAAAATATTGAAAATAAAATTGATTTTCTTGAATTTGAATTTTTTATGCTTTAATTTTATTTTATTTGACACCTTTTCTTCAATTTACACTGAAGTATTCGATTTTCATAAAAGAAATTCGTTTTCAAAATCAGTCAGATATTTTAAGACGTGCAAAAGACGTGCTTTAAAAAAATAATATGTAACAAGTTACAAATATAATCAGCAAGATCATTCATCCACTTAAAATGAATCCTCTTCCCTCACACATTTTTGATCTAGCGAAAGCTAAAAAAAATTCGTCAAGTCTCCGTCCGAGGTTTTGCAACGAGAGTCTTTTTTTTATCATTAAATTTTATCGAACGTCTGCATCTACAGATCTTTTCTTATGTATTCGTTGCTTATTTAACCTTTGAAAATCGATGTTTTTAGTGTTTTGATGAGAATTGAAGCGTCAGTCGCACCGAGTTGTGAAAACCAAATTGTATTTAATTGAACAAATTGTGTTATACTGTTTTGTAGTACAAAACATGATACATTGATCTATTTCGGAGCAAGACGCAGTTTGAAGCAAATGACATTATACGATTTCGGAGCAATCGTTCCTGGTGTGTGAAGATCATTTATCGGTAGATTGATTATTAAACAATGCTTTTTTAATTTGTCAAATTTTTTCACAAAAACGATTTTAATTAATATTAATGAGAAACTGCTCTTTACTTAAAAAATACGATTTGTTTACAACTTTGTCATGTCCGAAGTTTGATAACAAAATTAGTGTAAAAATGTGAATATTTAAAAAATCGTATTTTTGCATTTTTTTTTACAAAATATGAACTGCTCCGAAACAGTCAATTATAAATTTGACAAAAAAATCTCTCCAGCGGGGAATCGAACCCCGGTCTCCCGCGTGACAGGCGGGGATACTGACCACTATACTACTGAAGATTTGAAAATCGGAGTCATAAGCCGGAAAATTGAGCGCAATCGCGACTCCGAATCATTTTAGTCATTTTTGACCCTAAAAAACAAAACTTGGAGTGAAAAATTTCGGATTACTCGTAACTCCGAGTTATCATAGTTAATTGCGACTCCGAAAAATGGAGTTTTCCATTGAAAAATTCGGAGCAATTATGACTCCGAATTATTTCAGTCATTTACAACTCTGTAAAACAGAGTTTTAATAAAAAAATTCAAAAAAATCTCAATTCTAAGCAAATTTTTTTATAATTTCGGAGCATGTCACATTTCAGAGCTAATTTTATAAGATTTCGAAACAAATCATAATTATAAGTTAATTTTTATATTATGATTAAAAACCGTAGCTTTCAAAGTGATATATTCAAAGTGAATATTTATAGCGAGTAGGACAAAATGTAGAGCAAATTTTGCTGTACGAATTTGGAGCCTTATCGAAGGAAATTTTTTGATAAAATTTCGGAGCATGAAAAAGTTTAGAGTAAGTTTTATGTCGAAATAACGAACGTTGCTAATAAAATAAATAATTACATAAATAATTCAGTGAAAAAAGAAAATCGATTTCAGAAAGAAAACAAATTGAACAGTTACAATTATTCAGATACATAAAATCGCGAAAAAATCGCAGTAACATTTCAGGATTACCTGCTAATATCGTACTCTATACAATCGAAGGAAGTGAGCATACAATTGACTCATACATCGCAACTTGTCCAAGCATAATTCACGATGTACCATTGCGTACTGGCCATTGCTGAATATATGCTCGTGTGCATATGTACGAGTGCGTCTGTGTTTGTACATTAAACCTATATTATACACGAGGTTGTACACGCTGCTCGACAGGTCGGTATTAATACATTACTCGCGTGGCGGTCTCTGCGCGCGCGTATTAGTGCGCGCTCCTCGCATATATCTATACGCTTAAGCATGACGGATGAGCGCGTACGCATATAATGCATGTATGCAGTTATATAGACCCGCGCAAGTGCGCGCGTTGGCCGCGGCGAGTAGTTGCACGTTCTGAAATTTCTCCTTCTCGATGTACGCGTATATGTACGAAGGGGGTTCGCTCGCTCCCACTTCCCTCCCACGCTCATTAGAGGTGCCTCGCGCAGAAAGACTCTCCTCGCACCGCATATACAGTCTATTACAAAAAAGTACGAGAGGGAGAGAGAGGTGAGAGAGAGAGAGAGAGAGACGGAGAATGGAGAGCTTGTTAAAGACACCATTGAGAAAGAGGCAATGAATGAACACTACCGCGAGGCGAATATGCGCTCCACGATGAAATAACGTAAATCATCGAGTATAAACTCGCGAGAGAAAGAGAGTGTGTAGCGTGTGTGTGTGTGTGTGTGTGTGTGTGTATTATTGGCCTTCCGATCGATTCAAGCTTTAGCGCAGCCTCTGCATGCAGCTCTCTTCTTCGTTCTCGTGCGCGCGTTCCTCCAATATCGCTCTCTCGCTCGTTTTGCGCCCTGCACGTCGCCCTGCGCAAAAAGCTGCAGAGAGTGAGAATGAATTGATTTATAGGTGATTATTAAGATACGAGAAAAATAAAGAGAAGAGAAGAAGAAAAAAAAGAGGAAGAAGAAACTCGGCTGCAAGTTTTTACTTCTGTAAATCACTCATATTAACTAAATAGATTCTCAACTTTTATTTTGCGTGCTTTCTTTTCTTCTCAACCGGTCAAGCCAATGTGTAATCTGTAGCTTAAAGCATAATCGTATACTCGTTCTCACGATGATTTTGCGTTGCAGCGAGTATCACCGTGGTAATTATTAAATACCATGATTCATTTCTATTTAAATGCATTAATAGAGTATTGTCTTGATTGATCAGGTGTTTATAATCATAAATTTTCTACGATAAAACACAATATCCACAATGTTTCAAGTAAAATATACACGATACCAGCCCAAAATACATCGAGCTCTCCGCATTTCTTTCGTTCAAATCGGAACTAATCTATGCTCGGCACGAACGAATGTCTCGAGGCACTTACATACACTGCCAAACGAGGTGAACACAAAACTCGGCCGCGCTAAAAGCGTAACAAAACTCTTCGAGCGATCACTCGGTTTTCAGACCGATATATATACCAAGAGCGAGAGGCACTCATTCATGCACTCTCTGCGCTCTGCGCGTCGGATGCACCCTCAATTATGCGCGCCAAGCGTCATATTTTGCATAATACGAGTCTGCGTTCTTCGGCATAATTATTTATTATGGTTCGCCACACGTCGGTCAGAGGAGCTGTGGTACCGTATATATATAATCGATTGGTACGCGAGCTTGGCTTTTGTATTACACACTCTCTCTCGCGCGCAGACACATGTGCGTTCCTCTCTCTCTGAAAGCTTGTGAGCTCCAAAGTTGTTATAAGTTATGAGCAAACCGGTGCAAGAGAGCGAAACTCGGCATCGTGTAATGCATTTATACATACGTATATTGAGAAAACTTTGAGAGAAGCGAGAAGGAGAGAGAGAGAGAGAAAGAAAAAAAACGAGTGAGAGAAGATATGTATGACTTTAAGATGGAGTTATACGGCTAAAAATAATGAGAAGTATTCCTGTATACACTATACACGAGTATACCACGTTTGTGTACATTGTTCGATCAAATTTGTAAAATGATATTCGCTGATGCCAATCGGTAATTCTTCATTTATTTTGTGCTCGAGTAAGAGATACATTCCAGTCGGTCCACCGGGCATTTCGATGGCTCTTGGAGAATCTTTTCATTTTCATCTTTCATAGACATTATCGAGCCAGAGCTTATTAATAGAATACTTATCGTAAATATTTGCTCGACGCCGATTGTGTCCACGAGACTCGATGTTGACAGGATTCGAGTCCATTCGCAAATTTTCATTTTCGTACTTGAATGCGGTTCGTTCTCACGCTTGTCTCTCTTTCTTTCTCTCCTCATACACATACGCATGCAGATATATATAATATTCGCGTATGTGTGTATACGTGCTCGCAGTCAAGTGGCTCCGGCTAATGTGTCGACCGAAAAATATTTATGATGATTGTTTATGGATTGTGCGTATTATATTAGCGCGTTCATCACCCGCGGCCATTCTTCGGGACGTTTGCTCGCGCGCGCGCGCGCGACGACGACGACCTTCTCCCCCTTTCTTTCCTTTCCTTTTTTTCGCGTCCTCACTCCCTCGTTTTCTCTTTCTCTGCCTCATTCAGGACGCTTTATCACTTTCTTTACGTGTGTGTTCTACCAAACTGCTGTTGCTGCTGCTGCTGCTGTTGTATAGCTCTTACATCATATGTATATTGTATATAATAGCCGAGTGAATAGAGACGACGAGGCATTGGACGCTCGGACGCAAAAAAAAAAGTTTATGCTTATTTTTGCAAGTAAAAAAGCTATACAGGCGCATCGTGAATCACCGCTCGCTTCGCTGTGGTCGGGCCACAAAAGAGTAATTTCTAATTAGAAGATCCTGGCGTGTTTGAGGAAGCGCGCATAATAAAATCCATTAGCTCGGTTAAACGAGGCAAAATACATAAACGAAGAAAATCGTCGTAAATCATCTCCGATGGGAGGCCGAAACTTTTCCCCGTATTTTTCCGTCTTTGCACTTTTTGAAACAAGATTTAGGTTGAAAAGTTAAAAGACCATTATTGTATCGTCATTAGTAATGAGCCTGAAAAATATAGCACAGAATGCCATTCACGAAGTCATCGACTACATTTTTTTTTCAAAGCCAAACAATGGATAAAAGTCATACCGAAAAGACATTAGTATACTTGCGATTTTTTAAATTCGTAATAAGCCACTACCGCCGCCGCCGCCGCCACCGCATCGGTGTATCTGTGCGAATTTTCATGCCGTTGTGCTTGACAGAAAAGACGAGCCTAAAATGAATTGCTCGTCATCGTTCTCATTTTTGTCCCGTGGGCGTAT